CATCATGATATATCGTCAACCATGCAAATCACATATGCCTGATTTAAATCCATAATTTATATATTTATTCATTGAAATCTGAAAAGGTATGGATCTAATTTCCTTGCCAAAGATAAAAAAATATATATTGCTATTATTATCCAATCGTGCATAAATGGAGTTGGCAATTATCTTCCTCATTGTCATTGCTACTTTCGGGTGCATTATCACTGTCAGGTAATGCTGCCTCACTGACCGGAGCAGGTTTTACAGAAATAATTGAATGTGGTTCTTTTGGTGCTATCGTCACCCTCACATTATTGGTAGGAACGTAGACTGGAGTCGAAGCTGTATTACTTTTTATTACTTTGACCTAATATGTAATTTGGTAAGTTCAATAAAAAAATAACAGGACCAACTAAATCATGACAAAAAAGAAAAAAATCATTAACATTAACTCACAATTGAAGCATATGATTTCTTACGTGCATCCTCCAAAACTGCAGGAGCTGAATCAATAGTCACAACACTCTCACGATGAGTTACAATGTTTTGGGGTTCAACAACTTCTTCAATAACCGATCCTTCGTCCTTATCTGAGGGGTTAAAAACTTCAGCACCACTATTAATATCTTCATCTTCTGCGTACGTTATTGGGTCTTCCACAAGATGGTCATGAGCTGCCTCTGGAAGAAAAAGCAATTCCAAGATTCGAGCTTGAGGAAAGTATAAACATAATTCATAAAATGAGAGAATCAAGTCCTTGGTAAGAGGTGTAGCTACTTATGTGGAAGGAAAGGGCATCATTTCAAGACATATTGTGAGAGCTGCTAACTGGGAAGCGGATGAGTTAGCAAAAGCTGGTATAGGATGATCTGTGGTTATGAGTTATAGTTATTAAGCTGTGGTGTCCATTCAGTTTTTTTAAGGTGTATGGTTTTAGTGCGGCAGTTAGTGTTTAGGTTGTTAAGTCTTATGTTATAAGCAGACTATGGTTATGGATTGGTTGTATGTTATGTTCCAGATTAATATAATTCAGAGGCGTTCTTTTCCTCCTTCCTATGTCCTTCATGTTACTTATATAACATGTAGGATATGAAGGGGGGTTTTAATGAGGCCTATATTCTATCAAAAAAAAAGTCTAACCTGGTTCTGGTGCCAAGGCAGATGTTGAAGCCTGTTCATTGATGTCGTTAACTGGAATGGAGTTTTGCAACTCTTTGTCCTCAACATATCTAAAAACATCATTTAAGACAAAGTAACCTTTGTCTTGTGGAGCTAGAAAGAAGGTTTGTGTGAATTTCCTTCTCACATTGTCCTTTCCGGTTAAGCATCCAGTTACTAGTACAATGACCCCTTTCTCAAAAGAGTCTTGAGCATCTGCAGTTTTAATCTCTGCTGTATAGTCCTGGTAATTCAGTGACAGTACCTTCTCATTGATTGCTTACTCGAAAGAAAATATAAAAGCACTCATCAACCAAAACACGTTTAAGCTATGTTAAGAGAATGAGAAACAGAGAGAGATGCGGGCAAATAATAGTAATAATTATTTATTTTAGGAAAGATATTAGTTTATTTTTATTAGGAGTTTTATTAGGCAACGTTTATTCAACTTTATTAGGAGTCTTTAATAGGCAACTGTTATGCAATTTTATTAGGAGTCTTTATCAGGTAAAAGTTTTTCTCCTTCATTGTAACCTCTATATAGGAGGCCATCTCCTATTCAATAAAGTTAAGAAATATTTTGAACCTAAAAATTGAGATCATACGACTCTCTCTCAAACGAGTGATCAGGAAACAGTTTGGAACCAACTAAAGGACCGCTATTCTTTAAGATGGTTGAGCCATGTTAAGAAGGTTGAACGTAGATTCAACGGACTATGCTTTAATTGTGATGACTTATATACGAGGGGTCACCAATTCGAGAAACAGTTCGAGACTATAGTAGAGATTGACTAGGGAGTAGCAGATGGAGACGATCCTAATCCGGAGAAGGGATAGATGCACAAACTATGCAATCCCGAGCTTGCGTACAAACTCTTTTTCTAAGAGGAGTAATGTTATGCACAAATAATAATAACAAGAAGACAAATGTGCAAAGTTATCCTGTTCGTACGAGATCCTATACCTGGGACCATCTATTCAAGTCAAATATGAGTCTCCCGCAAACAAAGAGTTACAAAAATATCCATTCATTAAGTTAAACATATGCATTTAATAGATATACCGAGCTTCTCCCAGAGTTTCCCACACTTTTTAAAACTGAAATTCTTAGTAACAATCATTACAATTAGTCTCGATAATCATTCTTGAAGAACTTGTCATTTACCTAAAGCACTGGAATAACCAATGTACAAAAAGAAAGAGGTGTGTATTTTAATTCTCACTGACAATATGCTCATGCCTATTACTGGAGGAATTTATTTCAACTCCCAATATGGACTTACTTGCATGGTTGTCACTGTTGTCATGTTGCCATACATATCTGGCCGACTTAAACAACTCGAATCTTGATAAAATCTATGCACAAGATTCGGTGATTGGTGAAGAATTTGGTAATAATGCTCCACAAAAACATTTCCAACAACTTGAGCACTAGGAGTACCCGCAGGATTTCCTTCCTTCAAGGCCATCTGCTCATTTTCAATGAAATAAACAAATAAATCGTCAAATACCGACATCCAACTACAAAATTGAAATAATCTATAAGGATTACTGTCCTGAACTTTCACCAGAACATAAAGAAACATGAAACAAAAATACTTTAAATAACATCTACGAATGACAATAAACATAAGATAAACAATTATATATGTCGTAGATAAATCATCCGAAACTCACTTAAAAAATACAAGATATTCAACATCCTAAACAACTTTAACCAACAAAAAGCAGAACACGAACAGAGATGCAAGGGGAAAAACCTTTTCACCATAAATTAGTAATTTGATAGTTATAAACGCTAAACTACTTTAAATACTATGCCAACAATTCTGAAGCAATTCAAAAACACTCCAAAGCTAAAACAAGTAATAATAAAAACCCATCACTGAAAATAGATTCTTCTAAGCTTACAAGGCAAAGAAATAGTTCTTTATATCTAAAAACAGCTAACACAGAATCAGAAAAGTAATAATTATAATTACACTAATAGCAAACGTTTAATCAATAAAACGAGGAAACCCCAGAAAACCCTTGATAGAAAAGAAGAGTATGAAGCATATTAAATAACCAAATTGAAGTGAAAGTCGGGAATCTGAGGTTGATAAGCATATCAATCATATATAAACAATCAAACAGATATCAAATGCAATTAAAAGAGAGGGAGAGACGGAGAGACGCCCAAAGCCAAAGAGAGTATGCCTTGGAAGCACTGAAGCAGGAATTGAACAAACTACAGCTACCCGAACTAAATATATTTAAATTGTTATTATTATTTTAGGCCGCTACTGAAATTAAAAGGTTTATTAGTAAAATAATCCCTCCATTTTAAAAAAAAAATCAATTAAATCCATTACAATCTTTTGTACCCAATTAAATTCCTTTAACTTTAAAATTAATTAAAAAATCACTTTAATCGATACTAACCATCAAATATATTAATGTGATGATATTTTCTATTAAGTTAGGGTGATTATAAGTGAGGATATATCATATATATTCTAAAGACTTTTAACTATTTGACAATGAACGTTCAAATATTCTGTAATTATTGGTGTTCTAACCCAAGATCTTTAGAGATAACAATCATCCATTTGATTACTGAGGTCGCTTGACTCGTGTTATTAACGTGATATCTAAAATTAAATTTATTTATCATTTTAAGTTTTTTTTATATGAATCATTTTATGGTGTATGATTCTTGAAGTGTATCACATTATGTTTGCTAATACTATTTATATTTATATTTATTTAGTGAAGAGAAATTGAGATCAGTTATGATGGATATTGAATTGAGTACTAAAATAATCTCATAATAAACTATAGATCAGTTTCATTCTGCTAAAATTCAAAAGAAAAATCATTCTATTACACCATGAAATGAGATTAGATCGTGCCATTCAACATTCTTTTAAAATTTAGTGTATGCCCATGTTGCAGCATGCAACTAGCAAAAGTCGGTTACAGGCATCTTGAATTTGGTGATGAACGCTAAACTCTTATACCAAGAATACATGTTCCTTCTAAGGTAAATTTCTTTTCGAATTTCATCCACTTCAACACTAGTACGAGTTCATTTTTTGTAGGTTTTGTTCCTTGGAAAAAATCAATATGAGGAATGATCAAAATCAATTTTAATGGTGTCTTTGATGCCACACGCCAAACTTTTGTTGGAGTTATTGCTAGAGGTTATGATAGCAACGTTCTTGGTGGTCTGGCCCAACCATTCGTTGGTTGCTGTGAAGTCAATCTTGCTGAGATTCATGCTTTGATAGCTGTCATTTGTCTTGCTTGTGATCATGGCTGGGAATCTGTCCACTTTAAGACTGATTCGACTGTTTTTTAACTAAGATGACTAGGCAAACTCAAGATTATCCACTTTTGATTTTCATCTTCAGGAGGCGCGTCATCTCTTCCAATCTCACCTGGTACTCATATCTCTTATGTCAGTCAAGTTTGTAATACTGTTGCTCATACTCTTGTCAGTTGGGCTCTTAGAATTTGTTGTGCTCTTTTTTTTTAGTAGGTTTGTGCTGATCTTATTGCTATGGTTGTCTCTGATTAATCTTAATATATTTTGGATACTCTTTTCTCTTTATTAGGACTTAGAAGGGGTTTTTAATAAGGTTCGTAGGTTTATTTCAAAAAAGTACTTATGGTTATTGAATCGGATCGGTTTAAAATTTTAATCTATTCAAAAAAAAAAAAAGCAAAAGTTTCTACATGCCTAGCTCGAGGAGAAACCGCCAGTGTTATGCATTCTCCCACCGGATTTCTCATCGTCGACATTACTTTTTCTCGTTGCAAACAAAGCATCTCAGTCCAAAGACGATAAAACCATCCGATGAACAGTTCTAAACAAAACTAATTCATGCATGTAAGAGCTCAAATAAAACGGAGGTATTCTTTGTTAGAAAGCAAAACAGAAGAGAATCAGTGGGTGGCCGATCATCAGTTAGTAAGTAACCCGGATAGATTAAACATTGATCAATCACATGCATCTATACCCAACTAACTTGAAGTCATATACATGGCTTCTGGATTTTCATTGCACTGAGTAGTCACCGGTAACGGGTTAAAGATCATCAAGATTCATAATGATATTTCGGGCTTGTTATGCTCCAAGGTGTTCGGTCTCAGCTCATCTGCCAGAATATTAAGAAAAAAAATGTGTTCACCAGATGTATATTAAAATATGAAACCAACAAATTCAAATAAGTTTGCAATCGTGCAAAACACATGGTACACTCAACCGAGCCTAAGTACCTTTCTTGGGAGATAAGGTGATGGAGAAACCGGTCGTTGTGGATCCAATGCCTTCCAGAAAAGCACTGCTGGAGTTTGGTGCATCACTGGCCTTATCATAGTTTAAGTTCAGATGAGCTACGGCCGGTTCTTGCATTGCAAGGTTCTGCAAGAGAAATGATCAGCACAAACTTGTTATATGACACATGCCGATCAACGTCAAACAATGATGGCTATTGAAACTAGAAATGGTGTGTTTAGTTTTCCTCGATTATCCACAAGAAAAATGACTATTAAAAAGTATCACGTATGTAACACCGACTTCATTTTCCCTATTTATGACGCATATTCAAACTTGGGTATGGAGGTACGATCCTCCACATGTAGAGCTGTACTTCCTAAGTAATCTCAATCATGAACATATCAAAGGAAGAAGAGATAATGCAACCAAAAAGAGATAAAATGGTAAGCACAAGCATAAACCACTGATTCCCTAGTTCTCAACTTCTAGTAGCCAACCGGAATCACCGGATCGAGAAGTAACAATTTGCTTTTTGTAAATTGCATTATAATCCAACATTTGACAAAGATATTCAAGGATTTCCATAAGATTTAGGGTAGTTCAAGTGGAAGCCAAATCATAATTCTTACTCGAGTTTTAGTTGATCAAACATAAAGGAAAGAGGTACGAACCTTACAGGTTGATAGATCAGGAGGTGCAGGATTCCTTGAACTCGGAACAGGAGCTTCCGTCTCAAGCAATGAATAATACTTCTCATGAACATCATGTTTATGAACTCCACAATTCTGCACCACGCTTCTTGAAGATTTGGATTTACTATTGCAATCACCATTTAATACAGTACCCACACCTTCTACGGAAGTCCTTTTTCTGAAGCAAGTACCCCATATTAAGACTAAGCAAAAGTATCCAAGACGTAATTTATAAACGAAGGATGCAGGTAGACTAGCAAGAATTATAAAAAAGACTGTTGGCTACCATGATCGATGTTGGTTAAAGGAGAAAGGATGCAGCAAGAATTTCCTACCTACAGAGATTATAATTGGCTACATGAACAGAGCTGGGCTTGGCTGAAAACAGTATTCCTCGAAGAGGCTTCCCGTCTATAACAGTCTCAATGGTATATCCATGTGGGAAGCTCTCAGTAAGTTCAGCATGAAATGTCTTCTTCCCCTGATGTAGAACTTGTATTGATGGAGAATTCTCTCTTCCTGCAGCATTGGATGATATTACAAGTTAAAATCGTACCAATGAGGGAACATTTCTATATTACTATGACTTGATTTTTCTCATGTCCGATGCATATTTATATTTCTAAATTGAACAAGCCCGTGGTGGAAGTACATCTGTATCCGACACACACCAAGTCTGTAACATAGAAGAAACATTTTTTTGGATGTTTACTAGTTTAAAAGTAACAATTGTTCATTGAAACTATGGTTTAAGACATCCAAGAACGTTTCACCACCAAACGCAGTATAGCACAAAATATAAGAAACAAGCATCCTTACTTGCTTGGCCATAGCTAAACAAAGGAATCGGTTGGAAGTGTACATTATTGCCGACTTCAATACCACCGAGAGCTTTATCATGTACAAGATTACTAAGATTTTGTTGTTGGCACTTTAACTTCAGCTGCTTTCTCAAGGATAATTTCTCCAACGTCCTTTCATCCCGTACAACAAGCCCTGAATGTCAAATTAATTGCTATTAGAAAATCAGCAGAAGTGATTGATTAAAAGATTTATGGATTCCGAGGACGACCGACAAATAAAAATGCAGCCAAGCTGGCAATGTTATCAATTCAAGATAAACGGAATTTTAAGAGTAAACCTGTATATAAGAAGTACATGTCATCCAGTGCTTCAAGAGTCTTATTACAGCCGCCAACGAACATAAGAGCACCACTCTTCAGGGGATCCAAACAATCCCCAGAAACCGCAAATCTAGCAGAAGGACCATCACCCGTAGTAATCACCCTGGTCCACAAGCCAGTCTCTGCACCAATGATAAAAAAACATAAAATATGAACTAACCAAACTTGTAAGGAAAAATATAAGTTTGCCAGCAACCCTTCCAACCGCAAGGAAAAAAATACAATTATATACATATTATGAAACGCATATTTAAAGAAAACATATGTCTTTCCCTGATTCTCATACAAAGGAACGAAAAATGAATTTACATTGATTCCTTAACTCTTAATGCTTCTTCTTAAGACTCTAACATACATAAAGAAACAACTCTCAGAAACATAGTGATAAGTTCTAAATTAGGGGTTTGTCAACACCACCTGGAGGTGCAATGAGTCTATTCATTCCATTTCTCTGGTTTCTGAAACAAAGACTAATCCATGTAGATAACACGACCAACAATAATGTAATACGTACCAACATCAAGCATGTAGAGATCATTGTAAAGATTTTGAGCATCACTAAATCCCCCAAAAACAATTAAGTTCTTGCCAAAAGCAATTGTGGAGTGGCCAGCACGGGGTGGCAATATCTGGCCTGAGGTAGTCAGCTGTTTCCATGCAAGAGTATCTAGTTCAGATAAAACAATTCCAAAAACAACAACATTAAAATCAGCATGTTATAGTTGGATTTATATATCGTCAAAGCTATTAGTTGTTTCATACATATAAGTTGAGCACAAAGTCAAATACCCCGTGTAAACTTAGAAAACGATAGATATGCATGCAAACATAGAACACATAAGTGGAGGGAACTCGGTTAAAAGAAAGAAAGAAAAAAAAAAGAAGGAAAATCGATACCTGCGTCAAGGATATGGACATCAGATAAATAGTAATCACGTGCATCTTCACCACCAATTACAATAATTTTGTTCTTCCAAGATGAGCAAGTATGGCCATCGCGGGCAGATGGTTGGTTTCCTGATGTTTGAGCACGCTTCCAGACAAAGGTCTCTACAAGTCGAAGTAATGGAATATAGATTAAAAAAAACATAAATCCAAAAAGGAAGGGCATAAAAAATGTCAAGATGTAACAAATCACCGTCAAGATGTTCACCTGTATTTAAAATATAGAGATCGTTGTAATATATTTCATCATTGCTATCGGAAGATTTCCCACACCCACCAAATATGAAGAGCCGTTTGCCAACAACAGCTGCACTGTGACCCTCGCGTGCCTCTGGCCCCTCACCTCTTACACTTGGACAAATCCATGTGTCTGTGCCTGCAACATAAATAAGTAATGCAGTTATGCATTCTCTACTACAATCATCTACCCATAGCAGTAACTTTTTGAAATAAACCACTTAATGATAATGGTAATTTAGTCTTAAAAGATCAAGGGGGAAAAGATGCTCTAATAGCAATCTAGTAATTTCCAGAAAATCGCTCCGCAATCCTCACTTTCCTCCATTCACTTTGTATGAAAAAACAACAACAACAATTCCACATAATTGATTCTTATCACTCATATGGGGGTGGCATTGTGCTAGACTGCTAGTATGGATAGAAATAGACAGCTTGGGAGTGCATAACCGAAAGCACGATTCGTAAAAGTTATCTGTCTTTACAAAGTATATAACGCCATTAAACAAAGTTTCAAGACAAACACCAAAGTATATTAATTCTTATAACAAACTTCAAACGGGAAAAATATGGTGATTTCTATCACACCTAATCAATCCACTTTAACAAAATGATAACATTCATAGAATTGAAAGAGAAAAAAATAAGACAAATGCAGATAAATGGTCATGAAAAGTTAATCAAAGAAAAAAAGAACTCACAGGTTTCTAATATGTGTAGATCCTTAAGAGGTTTCATCCCATCGGTACCACCAAAAACAAATAGATTGTCATCAACAGTGGTACAGCTATGGCTATCTCTAGCACGTGGCAGTGTGCCTTTCATTACAGGTTGACTCCATGTCTTCTTGGCTGGAAAAAATTACAATGTGGGAATATTTGAGAGTGATTAAAAGATCATTAATATGGGGAAAATGGTTCCAAGAACAATAAACTCATAAAAAATTCCAAAAAACAAGAAAAGTTTATGCCAACGATATCATGCTAAACCAAGCACATATCAAAGCATCAATGCTACACCAATGTTCCACATAAACAAAATCAAAATGCTTTATAACAAGATAAACCCAATAAAATCCCCAAAATGTAAACCTCAACAACATATCCACCAAAGGAATCAATTAAGAAAACATATATAAGACAACCATTTCATCTTAAACACGAACGAGAACCACCATGTAAAGAGTAAACCTCAAAATCCGACGTAAAGACTAAACACGAAATGAGAAAAAAAGAAAAGAAATCCAGATTTTAAAAAAGGACCCACCAGTGTCAAAGACATGAACTTGATTGGTTTGGCAATTATCTTTGCCATAACCACCAAAAACATAGAGAAATCTGCCTCCTTTAATGGAGTTACAAGTGTGTCCCCATCTTTTGCCTGGCCATGAACATGCTTCTCCGATACATCCAGCTTCTTGTTGATTAAGCGGAACCTTTTCCCACCTCATTTCTCTCTCTTGTAGTTGTTTTTGACAAGAAAAGGAAAAAAATTTGAGCGGGAAAATTGCAATATTTAAAGGGAACACACAGGCTATGGGCAAGGGATTTGAGACTTTGAGTGGATTAGGAGTTCATGCAAACAAATAAAAAGTGGAAATAGCATGTGGACACGTGTATCAGTGTTAGGTGTGTCCCATAAAGGAACGAATAGGCGGCTGAAAAGTGATGGATCACTGAGGAAAACAGCAATCACGTATTTTTCCATCAGACTCTTACTACAACTTGGGCTTGTATGACGTCAAGAAAAGGTTGGGATTTTATTTTGTGTTTAACGGTCGATAATGACACGGTATAGATGGTGAGTTATTCAGATTAATTCGATCAATACTTGATAAAAATACTTGACGTGAATGAATTTGATTTGAGCTCGAGTTTAACTTGAGTTTTTAACGAGTCAAAACGAGTTACTTAATACTTGAGTAAAAAAGTTAACTAATAAATAGAAAAAATTATATATTAGAACTCTATTTTAAAAAAAAATCAAACTATTAATAATATAACATTTATGTGTTTATTTTTTTAAATGTGGTAGAAAGTTTTTAAGTAAGGTTTGAGTGTGAGCTTCAATCGAGTTAAGTTCAAGATTTGTTAAGATAAATTACACGCTTACTCATTGAACTTTATTTTCTCTCATATTTCACTTACCGTACTTTCAATTTTTTCAATTTGCTCACTGAAATTTAGACATTAAACTTTTTTGTCACACGACCGTTTTCTTTCTAATGGTGTGAAGATATGACAATCAACACCAAAATAGCGTAGTTTTGGATTTTATAAAAAATTAAATTTAGATCAAAACGACGTAGTTTTAATCTAAATATTTTTTTTTCATTTTGGCTCTTTCCTTCATTGTTCTTCTTCCTCCCCTCATCTTTCCATTTCTCTCCTAATCTCATTTGAACTCAGATTCTGACCATATTGTCGACAGATATCTAACCACTTCTGAGCACCTTTACCGAAGATCAATGATCAAATATTGACTTCCAAATTTGCAAAAAGAACTGTGCTACCATCATTTATAATTTTTCAAGAGTCGAAAGAAGAAATTAGAGGGACAATACGAAGTTCGATTGCATCATACAATGCTTGAAGAAATTAATCCCTAGGGAAAAATATTTTGGATTAAACTAATGCCACAAAAATAATGGATTCTAAGTTCAAACCAAAATCTAAATGAGCAATTCCCCAATCTTCTTCACTCTCACAGCTTCTTCACAATCTTTTCCTATTATCAGAATGAACAAACCAAAAAATAATAGAATGAAGATAAAATCCATAAAAGATGAAGATCAATTCTTTCAAAAAAAAAAACAAGCACATGCAGTGAACAAGAAAACAACTAAAAATCAAAACTAGAAAATGAGTTTCCTAAAATAAGATTTATAAATTGAAGAAAATTTGTACCTCAAACTTGGAGAATGAAATGGTGATATGAGTCTTTTATGGGGTATTCATCATTTCTCCATTGTTAAAAAAATTTCCTATTTTTTTTATCAATTTATTTTAAATTTTAAGATACCAAATATAGAGTAATGAGAAAAGAAATAATAAAACAAAGAATAATGAGGGGGAAGGCGGGATAAGACTTGGAATTTTATAAAGATAATTATTTTGAAATATAATAAAATTAGATAAAAAACTAAAAAACCATATAAATAGAGAAAGAAATAGAGGAAGAAAAAGGAATAGAGAAAGAGTAAAAATGAAAAGCAAAAATAGTTTATCCTTTTTTCTACGTGTCATTTATAATATTTTCAAACGATTTAAAAATTATTAATATATTCCAAGTCATAACGCTATTACAAAATTAACAACAGAGTGAACAACTTTAAAAAAATAATGGAATTGGGGCAAATCGAAAGCCTGAGTTGTTTAAAAAAAATATTTTTATCTCAAATATTTTCTTTAATTTCTTTAGAATAAATATTTATTTTATTTTACCTGTAAATAAAACCCTTATTTATTTTCTTTCATTTTTCATCCAGATCAAAATAAAAACCATCTAAATCAGCAACTCCCAAGTCTTTGTAGATCGACCATTACTCTCTCTTTACTACTTTATTTTATATATTTATTGAGATTAAAGAATTTATTTGACATTAAAACGACGCGCGTCAAATTGGCGCCATTATAGGGGAACTCAACAAAGGTTATTGTTCTCGTTTTTTTATTTATGACCAGGAAGAACCTAAACACACTAGAAGAATTTAATCCAGAGATCGAACCATGAGTTAGATGAATCTACGGACAAATACTTCGGAAGAAAAAAAGACGACGATAGGAACAATCAAATCCCAAAGAATCAATTGAAGCTATCTCCCATGAGCAACCGATGTTTTCTACACAAGAAATATCAATGAGTTAGATGAGTCACATTCATTAGAGGAACCAATACCCGATGCCACACGTAATACAAAAGCACCATAATCGATGGGCGATCCAATGATCCGAGAGTTAGTAACTGTTCTTGCGGTTCAACAACCTCTCTTCATCGTCTTCCCTCAAGGTGAAACCTCATTTCAGCTTAAAACGAGCTTATTCATCTTCTTCCTACCTTCTATGGACTTCCCAGTGAGAATCCGCACAAACATCTCATAGAGTTCTATATGGTCTGTTCCAGTATGAAACCATAAGGAGTATCCGAAGACCAACTTAAATTACGAGCTTTCTTTTCTTCTTTATATGGTTCAGAAAAAGAATAGTTATATTACTTGCTCCGAATTCTATCAATAGGTGGACTGACTTAAATTGAATTTTTCTTTAAAAGTTTTTCCCAACACCAAAGATGAGCGAATTGATAAGAAACATCCTAGGAATTAAACAAAAGGATGAAGAATCATTTTACGACTATTGGTAACGATTCAAGAAACTTTGCACAAGTTGTCCACAACACAGATTAACCGAGCAAACATTTCTCTAGTACTTTTAAAAATGGTTGTTTCCCTTAGAGATGAAGATGGTCGATGTTGCTAGTGGAGGAGCTCTCATCAATATGACACAAAACGTAGCAAGGGAATTGATTTCGACGATGTCAACCAACTCTCAATAGTTTGGCTCTATAAATGAACCCAATTGACGGGTTCATGAGATAATTACTATTTCAATTGAAAATAAATTAGATAAATTGACTGAACTAATTAATTCCCTTGTCACATGAAAAATTGGATAAATAAAAGTATGTGGGATATGCACGATGCCTGGTCATCTGACAGACTGCTGCCTGATGTTACAAAAAGAAGTAGACGCATAAGTAAACAATGTGGGGAATTTTCTGGGATCTCCCTAGAGGCTTATAATCCTCACGGAAATACATACAATCCAGGATGAAAATATAACTCGAACTTCAGTTATGTACAAGATCCGAGGCCTAATCAAGCCTATCAACTGAGGTTACCTCCATAGCAACCTTATCAACCGCAGAAGTCATTACTTGAGTCAATAGTTAAATTATTAGTTAATTTTCAAGAAAAATTTCATAATCGCACTGAGTCACATTTACAAGAGATAGAAAAGCATATTAGTCAATTTGCTCAGGCAATGAGGCGCTTAAAATCACAACGTAAACTTTCATCTCAAACCGAGGCGAACCCACGAGAAAATATAAGTGTTATCACCCTCTGAAGTGGAACAGTTGTCACATAGCTAGTCCTAGAGGAGTTAGGCGTAAAATCCCAAAAAAATATGAAAAGTCGAGATCCTAGGAGGAAAAAGAAGCGGTTGACGTAAACTTCCAAAGAAGAAAAAAGATTGAAATAAGATCCCAAAGAAATGATAAAAATGAGGCATCATCAAATCCGACATCATCTCCCTATGTTTTTCCACCACTGTTCCCTTCCAGGTTAGTAAAAATAGATAAAAAAGTTGAAGAAATAGAAATTTTGGATGTTTTCTAGAAGTATAGATCAACATTCATATTCTTGAAGTTATCCGGAAGGTCTCAAGGTATTCTAGATTCTTTAAAGATCTCTGCACGACAAAAAGAAGGCTTACCGAGAACAAAAAAGTCAATTTGGAAGAACATGATCCTACAGTTTTTCAACGAATGCTTCTATCAAAGTTAAAGGACCAATGTATGTTCGTTATCCCTTGTAAGATTGGTAAGATTGGCATAAAATGTGCAATGCGTGATTTGGGAGCATATATAAATGTGATGCCCTTATCTGTACACAATTTACTCTCTGTTGAGCCCTTAAAGGATACAAGAGTGATGATACAACTAGCGTATCACTCGATGATTTACCCCGAATGAATCTTGGAGAATGTGTTAGTAAAGGTAAATGAACTCATCTTTTCGGTGGATTTCTATGTCATTAACATGTAAAACGACCGGATAAATACTTCTTACGAAATTCTCCTTAAGCGTCTGTAACACCCCAACCCGTATCCGACCCGGATACGAATCCGAGGTGTCACATTGACCTTTTAAAACATGTACTTGTATAAAATAGTGAGTAATTTAAAACTTTTATAACATATAAATGACTAATTTACATAAAAGACATTTTCTTTATTACAAAACCAATCAGAGCGTGTATATTTCACTTATTTATTTAAATATAACTATTCGAAACATTTATAAAACTGTTCATAGCTTAAACAATATATTCTTTTGAAAACATGCCAACTAGAACTTTATATACTAAAATACATATTATTCACATCTTTTCTGATCTGACCTTTAGTAAGGAGAATTGACCTGTCTTGCTCCACATTGCTCTTTACTCTTCTCGAAACCTACGTGTAAATCACTTACACGCTAAGTCAAAGACTTAGTGAGGCATATAAACATATAAGGTAAACGGTAACTAATAATCATACCTAAACAATTACTACTATCATTTCATACCACTCATACTTTTATATGTAACAAATATATGCATATATATATGTCATTATCATTCATATCTCTTATGTCCATATCATATAACATATATCATAACCAATTGCACATATACATATCATGTCATGTAAACTATATATATACTATCATTGATTCATTTCATCA